AGGAAGCCGTTTTCCTGGGTATCCATCCCAATGTAGTAACCTTAGACGAGGTAGATATGTCACATCTCCAAGTATGTGCATACGTAAAGTAGCATTTTCAACGAAATGGATCATGTAAAATCTTAAGAACCGAAGATTGCACATACTTTCAAAGGCTCGCCCACTTATGGAAAACTCGCCTACGTTGTACATATCAAATGATATATCCCTATGACAGATCCAGTGCCCTAACAAAAATTCCAAAAAAAAAGGAGTGATGAAATTGTTATCATGAAAGCAATAGGCAAAATCACTATAAAGAATAAGAACTAACCGTTTCATTTGCCAGTACATCACGAATCTCTTCAGCCTCTACTAAAAACTGACGTTTCCCAGGATCATTTGACTGTTCATGAACTACTTGTCTGCCCATTTGTTTTAGTAAAGAGTGCATCTCTATCCAAGGAACATTTTGCACAAGAGATTTGACGATTAGGTTCTTTATCCCGTTTTCGACATCCAAATTACTGTCAGCGAGGAGTGTTGTCACATCATCCTTAGAATAATCATCGTTAAAGATGCATGCGATGTGGAGAAACAGATCTTGATCTTTTCTCGACAATCTGTCGTATCCCACTCTTAACACGTCTTCGATTTTTCTATCAAGACTAGATTCGATCCTAGATATCTGAAGCTCCCACTCGTTCTTGCTCTCTCCACGCAAAGATGAACCCACAACAGAGAGACCTAATGGAAGATTACCGCAAAGCGCAGCTACTCTATCTGCAAGCTCTTCAAAACCATCTCGTACAATACTTTGTTTGAAAGCAGATAAACATAAGATCTCAAGAGCTTCTTCTCTAGAAGGAAAACCCACATCATAGATCACGTCGATCTCGTGTGCCTTCAAAATCTTTTTATCTTCTGTGGTAACAATGATCCGACTCCCGAAACCAAACCAAGAAAGTTCTCTAGCTAAAGCCTCTAGTTTCTCTAGATCGTCTACATCATCAAGAATGATAAGCACTCTTTGATCTTGTAGCCATTCTTTTATCGCACCTAAATGATGTACCCTCATGTCCCTTTGGTTCAAAATCTTAGATAAAAGTTGGTTTTGCAAACACAACTTGGAATCGTAATCGTCAACACCCGTTATGCTCCTATAACTTTCTCCTCTGAGGTTTCCCATAAAACATCTAAGCTTAAAATCGCTAAAAATTTGATTGTATAAAGCTCTAGCAATGGTAGTCTTACCGATTCCCGCAGGACCCCAGATTCCAATCATCTTCACATCATTAGACTCAAGGCATAACAAAGAATTCAGATTTGCCAAGTGAGCTTCAAGTCCAACCATCCCCTCAAAATCCCTTGACTGTGTAGCATTCAGTTTATTGGCAACATCTGCAGCAATCTTTTGGATCATATCTGCTTCGTTTACCCTAACAAATAGCAAACAGAACCGTGTTGGAGAGGTCTAAATCGTGTTACAAAAGTTTCACCATTTTCTTGAGAAAGAAAGATAAAAAAAAATTCATACCAATTGAGAGAATGTTCTCCAGCTATGGTTGCTGCATATTCCAAAGCTTTGCTCCATCTCTTCTTGTCTTCCTCTGCTCTCCCTTCACAAGTTCTCTCGAAAGCGCTCCCAAAATCTCCCTTCTGTTTCCGAACATCTGAGGGATCAACTTCGTAAAAAACAGTCATCACGATCTGCCCCGAAGATTCTTTGCACTTCAAGATTTCAACCAACTCATCTAAACACCAGCTCGAGGAAACGTAGTTCTTCGAGAGCAGAACGATCGAGATTCTGGATTCTCTAATGGCTTGAACGAGTTCAGGTCCGATCGTGTGGCCTCTCTCCATCTCATGATCTCTAAACGTCGTGATCCCTTTTCTTGCAAAGTAATTGTGTAAATGACTGAGAAATCCTCTGCGTACATCTGCACCGTGGAAGCTAGGGAAGACATGGTATCTCCTTATGCGTGAGGAACAAGAAAAAGAAGCCATGAGAGATTGGTTAGAAGAGAGATCGGAGAAAGAATCGCAATGGTTTGTGGATAAGCAATCTATGGAGGAGGTAACAAGTAGTTTTTATACAGTGATGCAAAAGGAGTAAAGAGAAGAGAGAATTCAAAGCAAGTTCTATGTAATTGTTTCCCCAAAAGTCGTCGACGACCCCATAAAAGCCATAGTTGTGGAGGACCCCATAAGAGTGTGATCCCCGTCATTTATTGGTTTTGTAAAGTTTGTTAATCGAATTATTTGTTTTGTAAAGTAATGGAAGATCAGAGAGATTAGAGAAAGTTCGAGGAAGAAGGCTTTAATGACTTCCATAGACGATGCTGCGGAGGTGACGTTCTTCATATGAAACTTGAGAAAAAGATCCAGGACGCACCAGATGTATGTCTTTGTGTTTAGACCATGATATTAAATATTTGTTAGTTTAATATTGATATCATAATATTGAGTAGATTATATAGCTTTATATCGAATTTTTCTATTGTTGTTTCATACATACTAGCTGGTTGCCCGCACATATGTGCAGGTATAATTTTTTTTATATACATAGTTAATTGTAATATTTAAATATTTATTAGTTTTTTTAAACATTAGTATGTTTGTATATATATTGTTTTAATATTTCACAAACTTTTTTCTGAAAATAATATATTTTAAAAACTTTATATTTATAATACTTGTAATATTATATAATCACAAATATAAAAGTTATGTTAAATAATAATTAAATTCTTATAATATTTTTTGAATATTTTTATAATATGTTTTATTTCTCCTTACACAATCTACAATATGTTTTTGCGTCTTATATAATATGAATTTGCAAATACATATATAATATATTTTAAGTATATATTTTTCTTGATTTATTACAAATTAAACTGAAATAGTTTGTACCATTTTTACTTATTCTTAAGAGCGGATAGATGGTTGGCACGCACCAACCACTTCACTACACTTAGAATAGATAAATAATTTAAAAAAATATAAATTATATAATAATTAAAATAAAAATTAGTCTGTAATCAATCGTAACAAAATACATGCACGGAAAGTTTGCATGTGACTTCAACTAATGTACAATTAATATTTATGTCTGTACGCGTATTTGTAAATAGATTGAAATATGACTATTAGGTGTTAAAAAGTTTTTAAGTGACTTTGTAAAACAAAGCGCGAGAGATTATTTTTATATACTTCTATTTTTATTTCTTATTTATATTGTTTCATCTTATTATAATTTATTCCTTCGTTCAGTTATTTTTCATTTTAATTATGTTCTCAAAATTTTGATATACAATGAAATTTTTTTTATGTATATATATATATATATACATATGATATAAAAATTACTTTTATTTAAAATATGATAAGAGATAAGATGAGATGGTAACATAAGTTATGTACATTTTAGAAAACAACAATAAAAAGATAATAAAAATTATAGAAAAATATATGGTCCTATTAATATTATAAAATAATAATTAGTATTTACTTTATTCATTTAGTAAATATTGGTTTGAAAAGAAAAATTATTTAAAATTATGTTTTTTAAAAAACAATCAATAAAAGTTGATTATTGTTATTACTTTTAACATTTTATTCTTTAAATTATTTTTATCATGATTGTATTTTATTTAAAATTGTATTATTTCGTAATTTATTTATTTAAAACTTGTTTAGATGTTATTAATATATTTTGTAAATTAATAACTTTCCGAAATAAAAATATATCATACTTCAAGTATTATTAATAAATAGAATTTTTATTATTCTATTGGATAATTTAGTATTATTGTTTTGTTTTATATGAAATTATAATATATATATATTATTAAAAAAATTTCGTAATTATATTCTATGAAATTATGAATATATATAAAAAAGTAAAATTATAATAACTTTTATTTTCTGTTAATTTAAATTTATTAATTTTAGTGTTATAAATATAGCTAGTTTATTTATGTTTTAATTCCACAATTTTTATAATTTTAATTCAACCAATCAAAACATTTCGTTTATTTTAGGAATTTTGACATATCACATTTGCATGTTATCAGTTAAAAACACTAACTTTGACTGTAGTGTTGACAAGTCAGCTATTTTCAATAATGTTACTTCTCAAATAAAATGTAGTAGATTTCATTATGATGATTAAAATTTCATAGTTAATCCATCTATTTAATCCGCTTCACATATTTTGTATATTTTGGCAAACCAACCCGCGACTGAAAGCAGTCCTGAAAACATCTATCCTAACATGTTCCACCATATGACCGAATACAAATATTTACTATAATCTCTAATACTTCTAATTTTTATCAAGGTTAAATATTTATAATAATACTTTTACGTTACATGCATACGAAGAACGGGTTAAGTTACATGCATAGATGATGTTCTTTACATGAACTTAAGCATCTATGGTGTACATTTGTTTTATACAATTGACTTGGTTTTACTTTAATTTTTATTTCATACAAATTAATGTATTGATCGTTTAATATATCCTCATACAATTTTCTAAAAATATAATATTTAAATCAAGTCATACAAATTAATGTTATAATCGTTTACAGTTTTACATGATGAAGAATTAAGAGTATATATGCCACTACTAGAAAACATCTAAATTTCCAACAAATATTTTCAATAATTTTGTGTTGTTAGAAAATTTCCAACAAAATTCTTATAAATTTTCATCTAAAAACAATTTTGTCGGAAATGTGTCTCAAGATTTCAACAAATATAACTTATTGGACTAGTATCACAAAATAAATTGGAAAATTGTTGGAATATTCCTACAATTCTAAAATTGTTAGAAATTATTGATGAAATTAATTTAATGGAAATTGTCAACTAAATTTTTTTTACAAATTCATAAATTCAATCTAAATGATCGATAGATCCATTACGAACAAATTTGCTATTATTGAATTTTTTTGTATATTTTATTCTTATTTACACACATTCATGTTTGTTTCTTGCATAGAAACACGTCCATGGATTCTTGGCAAGCAAATCCTCCACCGCAAAGAATGTCCAACTTCCGCAAAGAGTGTCCAACTTCCATCGAAAGAGTGAAGCGTGAGATCTTCGGCGTTTTAGCCAAGTCCGTTGTTTCCACCGCCGTGAGTGCCGGTGGTGTGTTCAGGAGGAAAGCTGGAGGTGGTGGTGGTTCTTCCTCCATTACCACTACTCCGACGAGCGGCTACACTTCCGATCAGAACAGTGAATCCTCTTAAGCAACAAAACTTATAAAGACATAATTACATATATTTACTCTTAGATTTTACTCTTAGATTGATGAGAGCTTATGATAGGGAAAACTATTATTTACTCTTATAAGAAATTAAGAATAACAATTAGGATTACATATATTTATATAAAGGAAACCAAAACCCAAAAGAAAGAAATCTCTACAGCAACAAAACAATACAAAAACCGTTCTAAAAAAAACAAAAACAAAACAATACAAAAAAATACACAAAATATTCAAATGCCAAAATCACCAGGCAAATTGAGAAAGACTCAGAAATAGAAAATGCTGAACTGAGAGTATGAAAATCAAGAGGTACGCTAAAGGTCATCATTAAAAGAATTAGTAGAATACAGATTAGTGAAATAAATAAAAAAAGAATATAAAGAAATAAATGTATTCCACTCAGGAACAAAATTTTAAAATTTTCTTTACAAATTCAGTTTTTTCAGCAGGATCAGTGGAATTGTTTTAGAGGAATCTCTAATTCCTCCAGTTTTGTTCCTCTAATTCTACAACCATTATGTTACTTCTATCACACTTCTGAAAAGTGATAAGAACCACAAAGAAACCAAAACCAAACACATTTCGGAAAATCTGTTAATGAACTGTTTTAAACTTGACTTTCCAAAGCAAAATCACAAGAGTTGAAAGTGTGTAATACAAAAGTTTTTTTGACAGTTATTTTAACTATGAAGTGAAGCTCCTTAGTATCGTGGATGATGAGATAAATTGTCTCGTAGTCTACAACGACATCACCAATTCACCATGCCCCCTCCATAATTTATTATTTGTATACCAAACCCTATAGTAATAAAAGGAAAACATAATAGTAGTAGCTTCCCTCTCCCAAGTTCTGCTACTACCGACACATATTTTCCACTACGGTCCATACACGTGTCAATGCAAAAAGGTTACAATCGCATAGTAAAAACAGAAATTATTATTATTAGCATAAAGCTTCCCCCACTAAAAGTATTTCTTGAATCTCCTTAATAGCTAAAATACAGTATTATAATACCATATAACTTTTTGTTAATTACTTGACAGATTGTTGCAAGAGCAATCTAATAGTAGCTGTAAATTAGGAGTAGTATTTAACATTTATCATATCGCAAAACAAAATACTTTTTTCACGATTTAGATTTATTGTTGCTATTTTTTTTTTTAAAAAAAAAAATATATATATATATATATAAATAAAACCAAGTAAATGCGTCTCTTTCACGATAAGACTCTTTGTTTTCTTTTAGAAAATCAGAACAGAGCCACTGCATGTTCTTCTCTTCAATTTAACTTTCTCCATAAACCCCATAAAACCAAAATTTCTCCCGAATGAAAATATTCATTGTTAATCATCTTCCCCCAAATTTATAGTCACACAGTTGCTATTCTGATTTAATTATCTATATTCTTTCTTTTCTTCTGTAACTTGCAATGAAGTCGAGTAACAAGAAAGATTCATCGGAGAAGCTAATGTGGGATCGGAGTTTATCCGGATCCGGTTCACCGACCCGACCCAGTTCCAAACTCATGGTCTTGCTCCTCCTCCTAGTCTCCGCCAGTTACGTCGTCTACACTCTCAAGCTCATCTCCAACTCACGTGCCTGCCACGTGGAGCCTTTCTCCGCCGTTGTTCGCCGTCTAAACGACATTGTGAACTCATCTCAGCCGTTGATTCTCATCCAAGCAAATCAAACGGCCGTAGTCGAATCTTACGCCTCTCCACCTCCTCATCCACTTCCGCCGCCAGAAACAGAGCTCCGACACGTGGTTTTCGGAATCGCTGCGTCGGCGAGGCTATGGAAACAGAGGAAAGAGTATATCAAGATCTGGTACAAACCAAATCAAATGCGTGGTTATGTCTGGTTAGAGAAACCGGTTAAGAAGCTCGATGAAGACGACGAGAGTAGTCTCCCGCCGGTTAAAATCTCCGGCGATACTTCGAAATTTCCGTATAAAAACAAACAAGGACACAGATCGGCGATTCGAATTTCGAGGATCGTGACGGAGACACTCAAGTTAGGACTCAAAGACGTGAGATGGTTCGTGATGGGAGACGATGACACAGTCTTCGTCGCCGAGAACCTCATCAGAGTTTTGAGGAAGTACGATCATAATCAGATGTATTACATCGGAAGTTTGTCGGAAAGTCATCTTCAGAACATTTATTTCTCTTACGGAATGGCTTACGGCGGCGGAGGATTCGCCGTTAGCTATCCATTAGCGGTGGCGCTGAGCAAAATGCAGGATCGATGTATCAAAAGATATCCGGCGTTGTACGGTTCTGATGATCGGATGCAAGCTTGCATGGCCGAACTCGGTGTTCCACTCACTAAAGAACTCGGTTTTCACCAGGTCAGTAATTATCACTTTATTTTTTTTAATAATAAATATTCTGGTAGATTAATATGAATCTAGTTATGTTGTTAGTTAATCAGCAGTTTATCGAACTCCAAAAAACATGTCCAAATTAATAATACTTGATCAACTGATAAAATTTCAAAAAAACTTTTGATAAGATATATCATATTTTTAAAAAATAGATATACATTCATGCTTCTATCAATATCAGATTAATATAATTATATAAATTTAACGGAAATAAATAAGTTACTACTTTATAATTTCACAAGTGAAAAGGAAAATCTACTTACGTATATGATAACTTTAGTACTTGTATAAAATATTTCAATAGTTCATTTCTTTATGGCTTGTTTTTTTATTTGTTCAACTCTTTATGACTTGTTTAAAGTTGGCTAATTAGCAGGTGTAGTTTTAACTACTACAAGATCTACTCATCATCATCGTTTAATAGGAGCGTAAAAGATCTAATAAATGTGTAGTTAATGAGCTTTAATTAGATTACCCGATCGAGCTTATAAATTAAAATGTTTTTCTTTGGACTATTTTTTTCAGAAAATTCACACTGTTTGTTTACCTACGTAAAAAAAAAATATACATGGCCTTTAATAAATTCAATTATGATACAATGCCACGTCTGCTGGACCAAAATTTGTCCGTACCTTAACGTTGCCGGAGCAATGTACACGACGTCACGGTCTCAGGGCCGTCTGTCAAATAGAGCTGTCGCGCATTTAACGGCGCGTGCATTTCACGTGAAACTTTCGTTGTTCCCTTGTTTTAGTGATGTGGTTCCCATTAATTAAAAACCAACCGTCGGTTACCTACCAAAACCCGGTCGGTTCACTAACTACTAATTAATTTAGTTCTAATTCAGTTTTGAACCGCTCGGTTTTTATTTTCGTTCTTTCAGTACGATGTGTATGGCAATCTCTTCGGTCTACTAGCGGCGCACCCGGTGGCTCCGTTGGTTACACTTCACCATCTCGACGTTGTTGAACCGATATTTCCAAACATGACACGTGTCGATGCCTTGAAGCGTCTACAAGTCCCAGCAAAGCTAGACTCTGCCGGACTTATGCAACAGTCGATATGTTACGACAAACGCCGGAAATGGACCGTTTCCGTCTCTTGGGGATTCGCTGTTCAGATCTTCCGTGGAATCTTTTCTGCTCGAGAGATCGAAATGCCTTCAAGAACCTTCTTAAATTGGTAATATATATATCAAATCAATTAGTAGTTTCCATTAGAATGCGATCTCGCTTAAACTCGTTACAATAGTCGAGCTAAACAATTAGATATCGTAATTTTAACGTTGTTCTGTTTTCCGACAGGTATCGGCGGGCGGATTACACGGCGTATGCATTCAATACCCGACCGGTGAGTCGTCATCCGTGTCAGAAACCGTTTGTTTTCTATATGACAACTACGGTGGTTCATCCGGTGACAAATATGACGGTGAGCCGTTATGAACGCCACCGTGTGGCTCAACCGGAGTGTCGGTGGAAGATGGCTAATCCCGGCGATATTAGGACGGTCATTGTTTACAAGAAACCGGACCCTCACCTTTGGGACAGAGTAAGTCTTTAATTTAAATAGTCAGTCATATATTTATTCATGCTTGAATACAATAATGTATTTATATGATTTTTTTTTAAAATTGTTGGACAGTCTCCGAGAAGAAATTGTTGCAGGGTGAAATCAAAGAAGAATAATACTTTGGAGATTAGTGTTGCAGTTTGCAAAGACGGTGAGGTGGTTGAAGTTATGTAATAATTTTTCATGTTTAAGATTAAAATTTTGTTTTGATTTAATTATATACAAATTAGTGGGTTACCTATTTAAAAGTGATGGGAGATTTTCAAAACCTAGTTAGTAATACTATATGATTACCATAATGTGATTTTCTTAAAATAAAAACAAGAAAGCAGCCAACTCTGAGGCAACGAAGTTCGTCGGTGCGTAATTTGTTACGCAAATACAAAAAAGAATCAAACATTAAGATAACAACGTAGGACGTTGAAACGAAGTTCACGCATACTTTTTTAAGAGGTTCTGGGCGAAGCCACGTAATCCTTCCATACTCGAAACCACAGCATGTAATATTAATTTTGTCTTAAAATATTATTCGATCCTGTGATCTCTAAGCTTTGCCTAGGGTTCCTTTACCGGTCGAGTTAGCAACACTTAAGAACAACTTAAATCGTTTATTCTACATCAAATTATACGAAATGTTTGAGATAATTCTCTACCGACCGAAGGTATTTGAGCGGGTTCCATCTATCGCCTTTCAGTATGCACATATAAACTAGTTGCATCAAGCCATCAAGTAAGTCAAAATTAACTAACTCGATCACTTTTACCGTTTTTACATAACTCAATTTCATCACGAGCTAAACATCTAATTTTATTTATATAAAATATTCAAGATTACATATAAATTGCAAAAACAATTAAACAGAAAACTGTGAAAAAAAAAAAACCTAGCAACACTTATTCTCAGAAAAAACTTACTCGCTCTAATATTTGCATTTCATTTGATATGATCTAATTTTTCTTCAATTATGTATATAACTGTTTTAAACACTTTTTGTTGTATAAGTTGTTAATAAGATTTTCTCATTTTCATAATCTTAATCTTAATCAGAACTAAACATTTTATAGACGACGTGTAACTTTTTTTTTTAAATGTGTAACGGAAGTCAATTTGTGTTTGTTATACTAATATTATTGTTTTAAATTACAAATAACAAATATATGAAGAAAAAAAAACCAATGTCTTGAAAATTGGACCGAACATGGCATTGTTATTGGATGGTTGGTGAGATTGGTGGACCAATCCAATCGGTCAGACCGGATTTTTTTTAAAAATTTGATTTTTTTAATAAATTAAAATAAATAGATCAATATGTATGAAAAATTTGGACAGCATAAAACTGAAAAAAAGAAAAGAAACTTATGTTTTTGGAAAAAATAAAAGAAGATATTACATATGTTTGACAATATCATAATATATTAATATTCAGATAATATTCAGATATACGTATATCTCGTTATTAGGATTTGAGTCTAGCTAGCTTCCGTTTTACACAAATGTGAAGGAAAAATAAAAAAGAAAATCAGTGCTAATCGTAACTAATAAAACTCCAAATTTGATCTCTTTTGTATAAAAAAGTTATTATGACGATGGAATCTCCGCCTTGGCATAATATGTTTTCATCGTTCTCTCGGTCAATAGAAAAAGATAGGTCATGGCTGCCTCTGTTAGTTTGGATTGTCGGTTTATTAATCGCCTTTATCATAATACTAATTTGCCAAAAGCGTGAACAAACTCCTACGGAATCAGCACTTGAGACTCGCGAAAATTCTCGTCAACCACAAGACATCGAAACCGGACATCTAACGCCGCCTCAGCTTAGGTCTCTGCCTCAACAAGACACGGAAACCGGATATATGACGTGGATCAACCAACTTTCGATAGAAACGACCATCTTGGAGTTTAAAGATATCAAGGAAGAAGGATTTGATGAGATTTGTTGTTCAATTTGTCTTGAAGAGTTTGAAGATGGGCATGAGATTATCTGTATAAAGAAGTGTAGACATGTTTTTCATCCTCTTTGTATTGATTCTTGGCTGAAACAGAACCGAAGCTGTCCGAATTGTCGATGCTCCCTTAATGCAAGAAAGAGGAAAGAGATACGGTAGGGTTTCAATGCTTTTAGCTTTATTTAATTCCTCAAAGTTTAAATCTCAATGCAGATTGTTTAGCACGCTTTTTTTTTTAAACTATGTTTTGGTAGATTATTTAATTTATTTCTCACACCTTTTTAGTATCACAAACCTATTTTGGATGGAAATGGGAACGGGTACGTGGAAGATGACACACAAAACGTTACTATTGATATATATGTGTGTATGTGAAGAGAGTAACATATGTAATTCGTTGAGCTTCTATTTTTCTTTTCAGAGTTCTAACATGATTCGGATTCTGAATCTATATTGACGCAAAAATAAGGAAATGTATACATTTAAATCTTATCTTAGACGGGATTGCGTATGGACTCTCACTGTAAATACGTAGAGGCTAGAGCTAGCACAGATACTAGCCCCTTATTTAATATTCTTAAGAGAGACTTCCCAAACTCATTCTTCAATCGCTGCCGCCTCAACAAGACATTGAAATCGCACATTTCATATATCAAGAAACAATAGTCGAGATGAAGAAGATCATAACGTTTTACAATATCGAAGAAGAAGATGGGACTTGCTGTTCAATCCATCACGTAAAAGTTCCAGATTGGCCATGAGTTAACGTGTATAAAAAAATAGAGAAAATTTTCATCGCTATTGTATTGATTCAACGTTGTTGAGTTTTGGCTTAAAAAGATAGTAGAGATACTGGAGTTGAGTTTTGGTTCTATAAATCATTTTTTTCCAATGTTGTTTTTTAACTATTCCAGGTTAATTTAGCATACTCGACTCGCATCGACCATCATATTGTGTTCTACGGTTGTTGTCATGATCATTTAGCTGGTTCGTTTAGCCCCACAGGCTTGTCGAATAAACCAATACACGCATAAGTTAAGGCACACGTGTGTGTGTGGGTTTTAGAGGTGTAATCTTGTAACTGAGTTTATTGCGGAAGGCTGATGCAGAGACGCCTGAGACATAGATCACCGAATTGATAATTGTACTCGTACGTAAGATTTTGTGTTGCTGGCTTCTTTAATATTTGTCTTTTGGATGATTGGATCTAACATCAAAACTATTCATCAGCGAATTATGGTTGATTCAACGTCACACTAAAGTTATGTAGACTCAAGAAAAATGGTCATATAGATGAATTTGTTGGCGTTTTTTATATATCTTTTGTTTGATGACCAAGGTTAATCCAAAACTGAAACTCGTAATTAATATGCAAAACTGGTATTAAAATTGGTTATTATTGCAAATTAAAACGCAATGAGAACCTTGGATATGCAAAACTAAACCTGTGACTATAGAGAGAACTGCGCCAACATTTGGATTGTTACCGGTCTTACAATTATCAACCTACAACGAGTCAACAGAAAATATCATCAACAACCACTTGAACAAAAACAGAAATCAGTTCATAGACAACGAATTAGGCCTTGTTACCATTTTATTATGAACATCAATATAAATCATGATAAATTTAATGTGAGAATTTCCTAATAAAGATGACGGTTCAAACGTTGTACAAATTTGTTATTTTCATTAGGTATTTGTATTAGTAATTTGTGAAAAGACTCACAAACTGAAGATCAAAGGTAATCATTTCTTCAATATAAATAAGGGATGTTGGTGTAAGCAAAAATTGAATTTTCAAAATTTTCCCAAAAATCTCCTAACTATTGTGAAAAAACTTTTTAAATAGCAATTGAAATGATGCAATTTAGTTTCTTTCACAACCTTCCTTTTTTATGTTCGTATTCCAGTAAAGTACATGTTGGACATTGATAATTGTCTCCTCCCCAATGTGTTTGATGTAAGTACTCTGAAAAACAAAATCGAAGCTGCTCTGAAACATAAAAATCCAGCTTTCTACATAGATGGGAAGATAAATCGAGATTGGAACAGACCACATATATAACTATAATGGGAGTAGTGGATATCCTGATATCAAGTTCGTTTCACTTACAACTGAAAACATTCGTTGTCAAGGTCTATGTCAATGTTTGGTTGTATATGACAATAGTGAAAATGAAGAACGAATCATGAGACAAACTGATTGTGCTGACTTATATGTCATTGAGAAACTGTTTATGAATGTTTTAAAAAACAAGAAGCATCTTCTGACAATAGCTGGAGATATAGATTTTTTATCTACTATTGGAGTATTGCATGGTGAACATGCAAATATGATGTTAGCAAGGACTGACATTTGCTCCAAGGAAATGTGTAAGTTTACAACAAAAACTACCTGGATTTAGGTTTCAACATATGGTACGAAATACACTATGGTGGAAGGAGGTCGACCCTGAAAATAATATCATTAATAATCAATTGAACAAAAACAGAAATCAGTTCATAGACAATGAATTAGGCCTTGTTACCATTTTTTAGTATGAACATCAATATTAATCAAGATAAATTTTAGGTGAGAATTTTCTAATAAAGATGATGGTTCAAACGTTGTACAAATTTGTTATTTTCATTAGGTGTTTGTATTAGTAATTTATGAAAAGACTTACAAACTGAAGATCAAAGGTCATTTCTTCAATATAAATAAGGGATGGTGGTGTAAGCACAAATTGAATTTCAATTTCCAAAATTTTCCCAAAAATTTCCTAACTATTGTGAATAAACTTTTTAAGTAGCAATTGAGATGATACAATTTAGTTTCTTTCACGACCTTTCTTATTTATGTTTGGTTTATTATTATTGCAATTATGTACATACATTCATAATTAAGCAAGCTTGCTTAATTTTATTGTAACATATAGTATGCATGTAACACATAGTATACATGTAATCACTACAAGAAACTATTTTTATATAAAAAAAACAAATCACTACAAGAAACTGAAAGCTAAGCCATAGGCATTTGCCTTAAGACTTCTTTAAGCCGAATTGTACTGATCTCTTATTATTTCCAGGGTTATTCAACATGTTTTGTAATCAAAATATGATATTTGTCTAAAGGCATATGGCTTAGCTTTCAGTTTGTTGGATAAGTAGAACGACCAATGGCTGAAAATTAGTATTGAGATAAAGACAATGTGTTGATCTTTGGCTTGTTGGATGGAATAAACGACCAAGGGCTGAAATAAGTCTTTAAGACAAAGACTACCACCCAAAAACATAATCCTCAAGAAAATACCAACTGCTTATAGACTAATAAGAACCAACAACTGTTTCTACTCAGCGACCACAAGGCTTAAAATAGTAAAAAAAAGTTATACTTGCAGGATGGAATTATATAACGACCAAACACTATAGATGGAAAAAACAACTCAAGGCTTCTTAAATAAGCATCATGACTTAGGCTATGAATGGAGAACTGATTATTTACTCTACCACAATGCTTTAAGTAAAAGTCTCGGAAACACTATGGATAGGTTTTATATGGAAAATACGATCAACGGATTACAGAAGTCACTAGACAAAGATAATGAGGAAACATGTTCTCGGCTGCTTATAGGCCTTTAGACAAAGATCATATTTTGATTAATTCGTTGGATGGAAAATTCAATCAACATGTAACACCCAAGTTTTAGTATTTGGACCGGTTTGGATGAATTAAACCTATGAGGTCCAAGCTGATTTAGCATTCTTGAATTAGTCAGATGTGTAAGTGTGTATAGACATATTAAAAGCGTGATTGCGTACTTCAGGAGAATCAAGGTAAAACCTATCATCCAATTTTCACGTAGCCGCTGCCTTAGAGAGAAAGAGAAGGAGAGAGAGTTCACCATTGGTGATGTTTCAGTCCGTCGTTGTGGTGGTGGCGCCTAGGCATTAGTCATTAGCGAAAAGAAAGGGGAGATCAAGTTTTAAAAGAGATAAAAGTGGAACATAATTAAGAAGATGAGAAACGTAACAATAGAGATTGTGAAAGTAGGCAAATAGAGAAGAGATGTTAAATCAAGGAAGAAGAAGACAGACAAAAGTAAGAGAGATAGTAGAGTGTAGAAAAGGTTGTCTCTGTGATAATAGGAGTGGAAGCAGAGACGTAGGTGGAGCCAAAAGGAGAAGACGATGCTCACGTGAGGAAGAGAGTTTTCGTCTGGAAGAGAACACCACCACCAAGGAAAATCACTGTAAAAGGAAGATCTGATCTGTTTCAATAAGGAGAAGCAGATCGGAGTAGATCCGAATATCAAAACCTGAGTTCAAGCAAAGCAGATTAAATAAAAAGAGAGTGTGATAGGATCAACTTTGGAGGCATGTCAGTGGAAGAGCAAACGCCGATTATGTGTATCGAGGGCATCAGCGTGTTCACCATCATCCCAAGATTCTAAAGGAGTTAAGTCGGAACCCTAGTACCACCGGAAGTGTCGCGTGGAGAGCTTGCTTCCCGGTCAAGAAACATCTGAGAAACATGCAATTGGGAATCCAGAAATTACAGTGTTCATGTTGCGTACTTTGGAGGAAGATTACGTCCATACTAGAAGGAACTAGACAACGATTGAGCTGTCTCTGGAAATAAATCCCTTCATAGAATATACCGTATTCAACAGTACATCAATCAGAGTTATATAGCATTTGAAAATTGATCCGTAAGTTGGACCAGAATCATCAATGTCTGAGATTTTTCAGAAAAATAGTTCCGCTGCAGAGTTTTTAAAGTATCGTCTCTAGAGTTAAACGAAGCCCGATTGAGCTGATATTTGGTGTCCGTCAAGATGACATAGTGGACTTCATATTCAACAGTGGGATTGAGTAGTTAACGGTCAGTTTGTTATTTATAGATGTCTTTCTGAAGCTAGTTGATACAGTATAAAACAGTGTTTTATATCTGACGATTTGTAATGTTTGGATGGATAAACGAGTTCGGTTTGAGCCAAAACTTGGCAAGAGTATTATACACTCGTGGAGATAACTCTCAGTTGAAGGAGAACCGATTTGAGTATCAGGAGCATGGAGAAACGTGTTTTTGAAGTTCATAAAAGTCAATCTGTCCAAAGGGCAAAGAAAGAGAAAGTCTTCAGCAAGTGGAAAAAGTGATGGCGTGATCTGTG